TTTTAGAAAACTTCGTGAGGAACTAGAAATATAAAAACATAAAAATGTTTTTATATTTCTAGATGACTAGAGAAACAAACGTCCAACTCTATTTCCATTACTAATTTGACTAATATTAAATACCTGCCTAAAATACCAAAACATTGTTTCTAATTTTTAAACTGACATACCAGAGGGTAATGAAACTTGATCAACTACTTACTTATTCTATCATAATTTTCGCACTAATTAATTGACGTTGAATATTAATAGAACATTTTCCAACATCCTGTATTCTAATTCTGACACGTTATCATAATTCAAGTGGCCTTGCCAACGTTGATAAGGAAACAGACTCTCTATTGAATTTTTGTTATTGTTCTTTTTAAGCGCTGCACATTTAATGTGCCAGTGTTTGATTAAGGAACTAATATTTGGCAATTCAAGGCCACCTATTGTAGCTGTTCAATTGTGCTGCATCGCTGATTGAAGACTATCGACCGATATCATTTCGTTGCAACTAGCTTGCTCGTTTCGCTTGAATGGGTCGTTAATATTTTATTTAAGTTTTCCATGCGTATCAAAGCCAATATATCTAAATAAAACAGAATGTATATCTAAATAAAAATTATATATTTTATGTAAAACGATTAAGTTAAGAATTGAATTATCGAATGTAAAAAATATCTCCTACATAATATAGGTGAAATCTCGATAATTATGATTATAAGAGTTATTTAAATAGTGACGTCACAGGACGCTAGATATTTGGTACTGCGATCATCAAACCGCCTGTGAAACGTGACGATAGAGGTAAATCTTTCATACAACGGGAGAGGCCCATGTTCAGCTACGGACTTCTACGGGCCGATAAGGAGGAAACAATAACCGATAAGTTATATCCAGCAGTGGACTTAAACAGGCTGATGATGCAATGCATTGCAAGAGTTAATCAGCCTTTTTCTACCGACTTCAAAAAGGAGACGGTGCTCAATTCTTTTTCTTTTTTTTGTGTGTTACCTACCTCATTACTTTTTTTGGGTGAACCGCTTCTCATGTGGTCCCATATAAATTTGATCAACGTCTGACCAATAGTTTTTGAGTGATTTCTAATAATTTATATTGAAGTATAATAAGTCACTTTCTTCTTTCTTTTTTGTCTGTCTGTCTGTCGTTGCGGAATCTTGCATCTCAAATCTTGAAACTCAAATTTCGAGCAATTCCTGATGAGCTAGAGCTTGCAATTTCGAACACAGCTCAGTATCGGATGACAATGACAAAAAAAAATGTGGTATATTAATTTTTTTAATACAAAATTAAAAAAAAAATGTACCTCTTGTTTCATTTGACACTTTACATGTCGTCCAAATATTCTAGAGTAAAGTTGTGTTCCTTATTTCTAATTTGCTCAATTAAATTCTCTTTACGAATGCTGCTGAGCCTATAAGCAATTATATAAGCGATGAATACTACACTGTAGGTATTATAATCCAAGTCGATTTTCAACCTATAAAATTTAACAGGGACTATTTCTACAATTGAATGTTTTCTACTTATTAAGTACAATAAAAACTCAAGCTATCACTTAATAACCTCATTTATTAAGTAATTTGTTCTTGAACTTTGGCCATTGGAATAGCTTTATTTTGTTTGTAATAAGAAAACGAAAACTATAAACGTTTTGAAGTCATCGAATAATTTTCTCGCGTCGGTTTTGTGAGAAGGCGTAGGTCTGTTTCGATGTTTGCAATAATTTTTCTTCTACACAACTAAGATCATTTGTTAGTTTCTGTGAATTTTCTCGTCCCCATTCTTTTACGAGTGCCTATATTTTGCTGTATTTTGTGTCACAACATTATTGTAGAATATAGGGGAGTTTTTCTATGTTTGTGTGCATGTAAAAACTCCTTTGTATTATCACAGGGTAAAAATCGATAAATGAATGAATATTATGTTCGGTAAACTTTATACAACAATATTTTTATTTGAAATTGAACCTACACAATTTCAAAAATGATGGGTGATATAATATTCTTTAGGAACTTACGGTTTCAATCACGGAAAATAGCCTTGTCACGGAGATAACCTTTTCGGGGGCGAGTTGATTTAAGCAATTTCGTAGATCAGCCCTTGACAGACGCGTTCAAATCATTTTCTTCAAAGTTTGCCTCTTAAGATCTTCGTTTTTAGTAATAAGAAAAGAACTATACATATTTGATAAAAGTGAGAAAAAGTTTTAATAAAAAATTAAAGAAAATTGTCTATAAAGTGTTCTGTTGTCCTGGTAATAATGTATATATTTACATAATACATTGACGTAGTATCTAACAGGGCTAGTACCCACATAGGCGGCGTGTGCAGAGCGGTTGCAACGCCGCCGAGGGGCGCCGATCTAGCCGTCTTTTTTTCATTTTGCGTGCGTCTTTTTTTGGCAACGCGCGTTAACCTTGGATTTTTTCATAGCGAAGCGCTGCACGTACGCGCACAAGTTTCGGATAGTCGTAGAGCGTCCCCCACTCGGCGCGTCCAAATTTTCTGCATTCGGACGGCGTGAGGAGTTTTCGGCGGTCGCATTTGCGAGCGAGGCTCCCGGCGGCTAAGAGCGACGCGGCCGTAGGTACTGTGTATGTAGCGGCGCAAACGCGCGCTGCAATATGCGGAAGTGAGCACGGACATCGCCCGAAGCACGGTCCTAGTGTAACGAGAGTGGTGCGCAGTGAACAAACACTAAGTGATACAAACTATGATATAGTGCACGGCTCGTAGAGTACTTATGGTTTTTTACTAACGAATTCAAGGACTGTGGAATCACTGGACATTCATGGAATCGAGGAAAGTATTGTTTTTTTTTCCGCTTCGCTTAGGAAAATGTTGGTTTAACTATTTCTTCGTCGGTTCTAGTTGATTGGTCACAATGAGGTTAAGCGGAAGAGAGCTCATCTGTGAGTCAATCTAGACTTTAAAAAAGAACTATGGGACGACTTTCAAAGAGAACTATGGGTCGAAGTCATTGATAAATTTGTGTTGACACCCTGCAGTATGCGATAAATTTCCATCGTAAGAGAGTGTATAGCATACTGCGCCTTAATGACGCTTGTTGAGAGGATATTTTTGCACAGGCTTGAAACACTTCCTAGGTTTTGCATACACGTGCTGCCGCGCTGGGGCTATTGAACTTGATAATGAGACAACCGTATCTTCTATTTTTTGCACACTTATATTGCATCACTAAACTTTTTTTTACCCGTTCTCTATCTAACCGGTTTTTTAAAGTTTTCACTATAATTACTGAGATTGTTATACGCAATATCGTTTGCATGGAACGTATTGTATTTTACCATTAATTTAATGAGGCCCTGAATTTCAAAGACCTCTGTCTAGGTCCGCTCTGTTGTAATGTAAAGCATTCTCTTAATGATCCCAACGAGAAATCCAGTTTAGCAGCATAAGTTCGGTAATAACTATGGGCGTGAATAGACCGTCAGAAAGAGTAGGCCCGGAACCGCTCTGTTAGGCGAAAACTGGTCTTACGACGCATTAACATTTGCATAGAAACTGTCAAAGCGGCTCGCGGTCACCTATTAGCACCTACTAACGTCGCTCGAAGTTGACTCTCGTGTTTGACTTACGAACTAATTTCTATGTTCAGTTAACTTGGCGTTGGCAGTTTAAATATAATTAATTTGAAATTGAAGACATTCACTAATAGCAATTGCCTTTATACAAGTAAGGTTTTCAATTGTGTTTAAACTATAAATGACATAAGTTTACTCTATATGTATTACAAGCTTACAAGACACTATTTTTAGTGAGTTATTTTTCCCGACAGTTTATTTTCTCCGTCACGACTCTTGCATATTTAAATAACATTTTAAACGGTTCCTAGTCTAAAATATAATATTCAGTGTTAGTGTGAAGGTCAAGGCTGATCGTTTTCGTTTATCATACAGTTGTTTTATGAGAAAAGTAGAGCCAGCTCTTGTATTCGATACACCGATTGAAAACGTAAACTAACAATTTTTTTCCTTTTAAATACTGGTTTTATGACGCTATTAGGAACTGAGAGTGGTAATTTAAAAATAATAATTTCGCATTATAATATATTATTTGGTGTCGCCAATCGATTTTTTTTTCTTGGTTTCGGCGTCATAGTACCTACTAGTTATTAGTGAGATATGACATTTATCACAAGTACGAAGGTCGAAGCTATAGGCACTTAATTTATAAAGCTCAAATTTTTCTATTGCTCTATAAGTGTGTAAGCCAAAGGAAGCAATGACATGCTGACTTTGGCGCTAGTTTAAATAGGCGGTTATCTTGTCTTGTTAATTTATTTCTATTATATATAGCTACCTACCTATTTTATGAATGAATCGTTTTGGGTATAACTTTCGATTATAATTAAGTATTTGGGTAGATATTATCATCTAATTCCTGTGATAATGACAATGTATTCATTTTTTTTATAAATTTCTGTGTGGTCCATTTTTAGGGTTCCGTAGTTACACTACAAGGAACCCTTATAGTTTCGCCATGTCCATCCGTCCGTCCGCGGTTTTACACAGAAACCGTAGGTTCTACAAATCTGTTATTTGGCATAGTTATAGATATTCATCACGTCTACAAAACTGAAATAAAATAATAATAATAATAATAATAATAATTTATTGGACTCTCAGTTTGACAAATTACACTGATGTATTATATCTATTTTAAATTACAAAATAACATTTCAAATAAGTTAGCGTTAACGGCCATACTAGTATAAACTGTGTTACAGCCGTCAGCGTCTTCCACCCTAAGTAGTACAAAAATAATTTCATTTCGCTATACAATACACAGACATGTTAAAATAAATATGGAAAATAAAGAGATTTTTTTTTTCTAATTACCACAAACCTCTGTGTGTGTGTGTGTGTGTGTGTGTGTGTGTGTGTGTGTGTATGTGTGTGTGTGTGTGTGTGTGTGTGTGTGTGTGTGTGTGTGCGTGCGTGTGTGTGTGTGTGCGCGTGCGTTAGTATTTAAAAATTCATTAACCTCTCTGTTTCCATGTAATTAAGATTTAGCAACCAGTATAGAATTTTGTCCTTGCATTTATAAAGGGACATAGGGTAAATATAGCTTATTTTATTTGCTACATTATATAAATGACTGCTTATGACATAATATTGTCGCCGGGCTAGAGCAGTTCTATGAAAAGTCATTTTACAAATTCTATTTTTGTTACGTTTTAAATTAGGTATAAAATCTGTATTTTTGTGCTTACGTAGTATAACAGACATGACAAATAGTTGTCTTACAGTAAGTACAGAACATTCCTTATAAATAAGTTCAGTGCTATATCTTAGTGATTTACCCAGCATAACCTTTAATATTGCTCTCTGTGCACGTTCTAAGGGGAGTAGAGTTGTCTTTCCAATTCCACCCCAGGTTAAAATGCAATATTGTAGTAAACTCTGAGCAAGGGCATAATAAACACATAGCAAGGTTTCAAAATCAGCTGAGTTCCTCAATTTTCTTAAAATTGGTATTAATTTTCTAATACGGCAGGTTAAGTTGCTAATATGCGCTGACCAAGATAGGCAGTAGTCTATGATAAGTCCGAGGTATCTTATATGAGTGGAACGACTTAGTATTGGGCAGTTACATTTGCTTTGTTGTTCACATGTATGTGCTTTGAGATGAAATTCCGCTGATGGTTGGGTACTAACACGGTGAGTGAAGGTAATATATCTCGTTTTCTTTACATTTAGTGTCAGTAGGTTACTACTAAGCCACCACATGACCTTACCAAGCGCAAACTCTGTATGAAATTGGGCGTCTTTCCACTCTTTACCGTGTACAATTAAAGCAGTATCGTCGGCATACGAAATTATTTTGCAGTTAGGCAGCGTAATTTTGCATAAACTATTCACGTAAACGAGAAAGAGAGTTGGGCCCAGTACGCTGCCTTGTGGGACTCCAAACGATACAGTTGCAGGTAAACTAGTGTAATCACCGATTTTAACTAACTGCGTTCGATTAGATAAATAAGACCGAAATATATCTAAAGCAATTCCCCGTACGCCGATCATTTCCATCTTATGAAGAAGTAGGGGAACAGAGACAGTGTCGAAAGCCTTTGACAAATCAAGAAAGACACCTATTACTTTTGACTTATTATCAAGATGTTTTGCAATCGTCTCAGTTAGGATTAAAGTTGCGTCTTCAGTAGACTTGCCTTTCACAAAGCCAAATTGGTTATCCGAAATAATATTATTATGTTTAAGAAAATTTGTGAGTCTAAAATTTAAAACTTTTTCAAGTATTTTAGAAAGCGCACTCAGTACAGATATGGGCCGGTAGTTTTCAACACTGTCTCTGTCACCACTCTTATGTATTGGATGAACTAAAGCCCTTTTTAAGATGTCTGGAAATACACCAGTTTTTAAGCAAAGGTTACACATATATGTTATAGGTGGGATAAGGCTGTTTTTGGCACGTTTTATGAGTTGCGAAGGTATTCTGTCGATTCCTGTGGCTGAATCATTTCTTAAGTTTGTGATAATAGCTTCTATCTCGTAACAGTCTGTATCGAGCAATACCATGGAATTATTCAAAGGGTCGGATTCACTTCGATGTTTAGCGATATTAGGATAGCCATTGTTTTGTTGTTTTTTTAATATTGCATTAGCATAAGTTGAGCCAATTTCTGCAAAGTAATTATTAACAATATTGAGAGATTTATGTGGATCTTGAGTTAAATTTAGTAACTCACAGGGAGGGGGTGAATATTGCTTAAAGTTTGTGATTTTGTTTATAGTATTCCAAGTGCCCTTTGGATTGCGTTTATTTTTACAGAACTCAGTTTTCTCATAGGCAGTTTTAATTTTTTTTAACAAATTATTGCAAAAATTGCGATACCTTGTATAAGTAATCTGTAATATTGCATTGTTTTTATCACGCTTTGCTTTCTTATGCAATTTATCTCTGTGTCTTATACAGCGTACCAATCCAGGAGTTAGCCATGGCTTGATGCAACGCTTACGATGAGGAATATTTATTTTAATAGAATGAGAAATGATGGCATCAGTAATAATGTTAGTTAAAGCGGTAGCTGCATCATTGGCATCCATGATATTGTATAGAAAGCTAAAATCTGTATCAGATAATTGTTTTAATAATGGTGGATAATCAATTTTGAGAGTAGTGGTTTTAGATGGATACCTTATAATTTTGCAATCTAGATGGAACACTATCGGAGCATGATCAGTAATAAACGAATCCAGTATATATGTTGCAGTATATCTATTTGATCTCAACATTACATGGTCAATACAACTTTCGTTACGAGTAGGTAGAACATGAGCTGCTAAAAATCCATGATGCGCCATTAAATCTAAATATTTACTGTTGTTAAGTTCATTATTATTAGGAGAGATATTTATATTGATATCTCCAATCAAGACCACTGATCTTACAGAAGCCAAAGAAGCAAGACAGAGATCGAGGCTATCACAAAATTTATTTATATTTCTTTGTGAAGGTGATCGATACATACCTAATATGGCATATTCATTATCAAAATTTACAATAAGACCACTTGAATCAGAAAGCAAAGGTTGGGATATACTATGCTTTATTTCCGATTTTATATATAGTAGAACACCGTCGTTTTGGTTACTATACTCAGAAGAATGAGACGTATACCCAGAAATTTCAGGTATAACTGATAATTTGCTTAGCCAGCATTCTGTTAGTACAAGGACGTCACATTGAATACAAATTCTTTCCAATAGAATGGCTAGTGCATCAAAATTACAAGTTACGCTGCGTATGTTAGTGTGAAATACTGTTAAAGAATTCCCGGCCTGATTGATGTGATTAACTAAAGTTTCTGGAGTGCAGATCATAGATTTGGAAACAGAAACTGAATCAATGTCATCAGAAATATTATCGAGTAAAATCATTAATACGTGTATAATCAATTGCGCATATCATAGTTACATTCAATTGACCATTTATTCTAAGCTTATATTTTGAAACCGGTGTAATTAGATTGTTGGTGATGTAGAGATTTAATGGATTAAGACTTAGGTTAGCCTGTGTAAGTGTATGTGAGTAATAATATGTATTATTTAAAATTATAAGAAAATATATGATATGTGTTTGTGGTAATATGTATTGAGTTTTTAAATCAACTTTAACAATAAAATACGAATGACTTAAAAATTTAGAGAAAAATAAGATTCTGTTAAAAATAATATGTAAAAATCGAAGTAGAATGCTAAGTCACAAAGAAAATTGCGACTGTAACTGATTCAGATCATTTTCCGAATCAATCCGATGTGATGGGGCACCTTCTTTTTTACGAAGAAATACCTTCCCATGAGCAGTCCAGCAATAAGCATAAGAGTTCCTTTTACTAAACTCTCGGGCGAGGTAGAATAGTTTCTTTGCTTTTTGAGTAAGACATTCAGTAATGAAAATGGGTTTAGGGAGTCCTTCAAATTGTATATCTCCTGTATTTAGTTTTTTAGTGCTATTTGTTCTGTTATAATTCTTTACAGATGTCAAAATCTTTTCTTTTAAAATAACAGTTGAAAAGTCTACTATTATCGGCCTATTTCCCCTCTTATCTACATTCAATCGAAATGCATCACGAATGTGGGTGTCTTCAATATGGGTATTAGTAACTGCACCAACTGTTTTTACTATCCGTAACAAATCTTCTTTAGTCTCATTATGTTTGACAGGGATATTCTTTATCTCAATACTAGCTTGTTTTTGAAATCTCTCAAGATTCTCCACCCTTAATTCAAGGGTTTGTATATAGGCTAAATGCGTTTTTCTTTCAGTTTCCATTTTACACAATCGATCTTTAATTTCTTCATACTGATTTGAGATAAAGTCCATAGATTTAATAATATCACCATTTTGTTTCTGGATGTCACTAATACTACTTAGAATTGTAACTTGTTGATTTTTGAGGGTATCTAAAGATTGTTTTGTATCCGATATAAAAGCATATATCTCATCATCATGCTGGCGCTTTCGACCACGAGGTCTGCTGGTAACATTATTGGAGCTATCATTATCGGTATCCGTAGCCGTGGCTGCTGCTGAGCTCTGATTAGTATCCGATTTAGGGTTCTGGTGCAGTGGAGGGGATCTTCTAAGTGGCATTTTGAAATAATAATAATAAAAAAGGGGGGCAGAAAACCTTTAAAAATAGCTGCACAATTTACGACTTACTAGGAGCGCAGATTTAACTAAGCGATCGTAACAAGATACGTAGTAGATTACGAACTCACGAACCACGTAGCAATAGTAGGTGCTGTAGCATCTGTAGGGCGTGGCTTGTTCGTCTTCCCGTAGCACTAGTAGCAGATATACATCCACTTGCAAATAACTGTTTCAAAATTTATGATTTCCTGGTACTTTGCACTTAATTAAAATTTGAATTTATAATTCAATCGTTGAAATAGATTTCAAGAGTAACAAAATACACGTCTACACTCAATCACAACCAGGGTGGAGGATCTTAAAAAACATTTTTATTTTGCCTGTAATTGGAGGATGATTTTTTTTACCTGCGTATTCCATAGTGTGGGGTATCGTTAGGTAGGTTATTCAAGGGTCCGTTTGCGAAATATTTCGCTTTAAAGTGGTATTTTTCATTAGTTATCCCCCCCCCCTCTACAAACCAAACCGCTGTTTTTGGAAATGTAAAAAGTATACACGTTAGTAGTATTTATAATGAAGTCAAAAGAAAACCTATCACAGCTAAGTAGAATTAAGAAGTTAAAGAGTAATAGTCGACCGACTTATAAAATGCGCTTGGATTAGTAAAAATTTCGTTACAATTCCATAGAAAATGACCTAAACCTAGCTGCATTAATAACTTTGTAATGTTATTGTAAGATGTAAGTAAGAAACATTTTATGAAGAAAACGACTTACATATATGCATTACTACTACTACAGCTTTACTTTGTAATTTGCGAGATAGGCAGGGATGATCTTACTTCCTACTTTTGCTTATTTTTTATTTGGTAGTTATTGTATACCTTATTCAAAGTATTCATACAATCATATAACCTCATACAGTTTCATTCGTCATACTCTTGATTTACGCGGGCGACCTTGGGATAAGTTACGGTCATGTATACATATCTTAGAGTTGCACTGCCAGGAAAATATAGATAGACAGTCAACTATGACCATATTTGTAGGGACTTGGCATGTATGATATATTTGATGTAAATTGTACTGTTCAAAATCTAAAACTTTTTTTTAATCTTTTTTGAATACTCCCTATAAGTCTGGTTTGAAAATTAGTCCTTCATTTACCATCTTCCTATTTGGGCCCATTTTTTAATCGTTGTAGCGGTCAAACTGCGAACTCACTTATTATGCTCAATATCACCCTACCTCTACATTGTGCGTGGCCCGACACGCACTTGGCCAATTTTGACACTGTGGCCGAAAGACACCTATGTCTATCCTTGATTAAGAATCTGAATGAAGATGAATTGCTACCCTTAAGGAGTAAGATGGGATGTTTATTTAATACTCGTAGTAAAAGAGTCTCCGGTTCTCGTCACTTACAATACGAAATATATCTTTATTTTTTAATAAAATAAGAGTGACAAACAAGCACACGGTCCACCTGATAGTAAGGGGATGCTGTGGCCCATAGATATATACCTTTATCCTCGATTAAGTATTAAAATGCAGGTACGTTGCCACCCTTGAGAACTAAGATGGAATGCTTCGTTTCCAGTAAAAAGGATTTCCGGTTCTCTACTATTTATTCTGTGAGAGTGCGATCCTTACCCGGTCGAGGCTACCCCTTCAAGCTGCAATGCAACCACAATACTTTGTAATGTAACGTGGTTCTTAGTTACTTATTTTTGGTAGTAATAAATGTAGTAAGACTACGATGTATATCCGAGTACAGAGCCAGAGCACGAAACCTATGTAGGCGGCAGAGAGGCGTGAAAAAAGTGAGATTATATTCCCGAAACTCATTACCGCTGCCTTATTAAAAACTACCGTATTATAAACAGGAATTTATCACAATGCGTAACAGTACACTGGGGTAAATCGCATTATACTATTTAAGTTGTGGTTGCCTAGTGGTCGAAATTCAACCGTATTCCATCCAATTATTAGGTAGTTTGTATATTATGCAAGCTGTATTACGCTTTCAACTGCATATTAATATATAAACACACAAATATTTAATATTTAAATAAAATATACAATTAAACACCTTTTTGCCTGGAAATACAAACTTAAAAAAAATTCACAAATAATTCATAGGTCATTCAGTCAATTTTTCAGTAATTGTGTGTTAGCAACATTTTTAATTTCTTTGGCGACAATCTCTACTCTGTGCGAGACTATTAAGTGTTTATTGGCCTTAGAGTAATAACATACTATTATGCTTGTACTTACTCTCAGACATTAGCACTATGAACGTCAATAAACGACAATTTGTCCAAACAACAATTAACTATGTGTTTGACATTGCCAGTATAAACGCAAACAATTATGGTTTATTCAATTTAATTTACTGTATTTGTAACACATATTATAAACAAATTTTAGCGTTATGCACTCCTTCTTCGTATAATCTCTGACTATGCCAAATCTCACTCACCTCTGTGCGCACAATATGCTTAAAAAAGGGTACAAAGTTACTCTTATTGCGTAGTTAAATCGCTTTTCGAATAAATCACGTTCCATTTGTGATTTTTTTTAATATTATACATTGAATCTGTTATGTAGGTACATGTGTTGTCTTTGCATTGTAGATAACCTTATATCTAGTCGGCCTACCGCAAAGATAAGAACGTGATTAGAAAAATGTAGGCAAACTAATGAAATATTACCGTACCATGCATGAAATGAAATAATGATTCTGCAGTAATTATTTGTATCTAGAATTTTAAAGCATTATTGATGTATGATACGGTGAATACCATGTTGATTGCATGGAATTTATTACGACGTCCTGCAATTAGCGGGGTGCACCGCATGAGATTGAGGTTGCTCTTTAAGAAAAAAAAAATTGTATATTCCCTTCCAGTCTAAAACCTGACTTAAGAGTGTTCGGCGGGAGGTGTGGGGTAGTCGACATATTCGAATCTCATTTTGAATGGTCAATAAAGTCCTACAGATCGAATTTCGGTCACGGCGGCCAGTCTCAAAGGATCTTCGCAAGACATGATTATAGCGCACGAGTTTGCGCGCAATCATAGGTGCACTACCCTCACTCCCTTTGTCCGATGGGGCGACAACCCGACACGACCGGAGAGAGATCAGGCGCAGGACCAACTTCTTTACGTGCTTTCCGAGGCACGGGGGTGAGACACCGCTAACTGTTTGACTCCAGACAGCTACTGGGAATTTTTTGACAGAAAAAAACCAATAAATTTTTGGCCCGACTTGGCATTCTAACTCAAAACATGATCAATAGCTACCACTTACGATTACTAATAAGACAAAATAGAAGAGTCAAAGTATGTGAATGGGCACTACTAACGACACTATAGTGACAATAGATTTCGTTTTCCGTTTGCTGCACGCTTACTGAGTTTCCACTCTTTGGCCGTTGAAGGAAAAGAGATCTCCCGCCAGACAAGGTGTTGGGCAAGGTAATCGGTCAGGGGAGCGACCAACGCTCCGAGTGGTAATTCGGAGCTATTCTATATATTATACTGCTTTTACTTCGGAACTTTGATAGCGCGATTTAGGCTTCGATGTTTTTAGCTTGTGGCGCGACGACTCTAACACTTTTATTATGCAACGGTTAATGTAGCAGAATAAAATAGAGCCGAAATATAAATATAAATTATTAAATATATTTTGCCTGTATCATTTTTATTCTATAATATAAAGTTATATTTTTTACTTACGAATACAACTTTGCAAAAAAAAAGAAAAACTGTTTAATTAATGGC